AAATAAAAGAGTTCCTGTCGCTCCACACCCTCACCAGCATTTAGTGTTGTTAGTGTTCTGGATCTTGGCCATTCCAACAAAGGTCTAGTGGTACCTTGATGTTGCTTTAATTTGCATTTCCTTGAGGACAAGTGAAATTTACATCTTTTATATGTTTATTTTCCATCCCATCCTCTTTGGTGAGGTGTCTGTTAAGGTCTTTGACTGAATTCTAAATCAACGTTTTGTTTTCTTATTGTGAGTTTTGAGTTCTTTGTATATCTTGAATGAGCCCTTTACCAGATGTGTCCTTAGCAAATATTTTTTCCGAACCCATGATTTGTCTTCTAATTCTCTTGACATTGTCTTTTGCAGAGCAGAAGTGTTTAATTTAATGAAATCTAGCTCATCAATTATTTCTTTCATGAATCTTGCCTTTGGTGTATCTCAAAAGGCATCTCCACATCCAAGGTCATCTGGGTTTTCTATGTTATCTACTAGGAGTTTTATAGTTTTGCTTTTTACATTTCAATCTTTGATTCATTTAGAGTTAATTTTTGTGAAGGGTCTTAGGGTCAAAAAGGAGATGGAAACTGCTTAATAATTTGAAGAAAAAAGTTTAATATAAAGAACTGTTAACTATAACACAGGATTGGGGTAACAAGAGATTGTCCAGTAAGAAGTGAAGAGAATACTAAGGAGTATAGCAATTGAAGATAAAAGAAGTGGAGAGCACTCCCAGGAGAGATTCAGAACCCAAGGAAGAATCACTTTCTCTCTTTCTCTCTCTCTCTCTCTCTCTCTCTCTCTCTCTCTCTCTCTCTCTCTCACACACACACACACACACACACACACACACACACACACACACACGATCCAGGCCTTGTTGGAGAGGGTATAACTGGGCCTCACAAGTGCTGTTGTTATAGGACAGGGAGAGGGGCAGCCCAAACCCCGCAAACCTGCCTATTCTACATGGGTTCTGCCATCCGCCGCATCAACACAAAACATAGGAGACTTTAATGGGAAGGAACTTTAATAAAACTAGGAAACAATACAGGTAAGGCAAAGAGTCTAGTTTCTAAATGAAGCATCCAGAGTTACCCATCCCCTCGTGGGTAAAAGTCCATCCAAATGGGATTGGCCCAGAACAAGACCCCAAAGCCTGCTACAAGTCTAAAGCATCTTCCAGTGGGGACCCACAGAAAAGGGTCACAAACAACTGGACAAGCCCGGAAGGAAAAGAGCAAAATCAACATCAAGATAAAAGCTGCCATTGTCACCTCCCCACGGGTCTCACCCACATCTGTGTCACCCAGTCCACGACCAAAAGACAAGCGCAGTTTCTTCACGTGTCTCTAGGCTCCATGCGCCTCCTCCAGGTCTCCTGGCTCCATCCTGCTTCCTTCCTCAGTCTCTTCTGCAGCTTCTTCTCTCCCTGCTCAGCTCCACCCTCCCTTGGGTGGGGCAGGGAACCTCCCCCTTTCCTGGGGACCACCCTGTTGCACTGTGACAACAGAACTTGCTGTAAATCTACCTACTAGAACTTTCTGAAAATAGACGCCCTTGAAGATACCAGGAAAAGTTCTTTATGGGCAGGTATTCCACTGTGAACTGCATGGGGTATGTTTCTGGGGGATGCTGCTGGCCACTGAATACTGCTGACCTGTGTGCATCACAGGAGCCAGGTGCTGGAGCGGTCCCTCTCAGCTAGAGAAGGAAACATCCCAGAACCAGGGAGAGGGGGTCTTTCCTACAATGCCACTCTCCCGCTCTCTACTGGTAGGCAAAAGAAAAATATTTAATGGACCTAGTTGTATTTTCACAGAACAACCAAAAAGGGTAACTGAGGAGCTGAGAGGAGATAAACTGATAACAGTGACAGGTATGTCACATAAGGCATATGGGTCACTTTGTTATAGGACAGGGAGAGGGGCAGCCCAAACCCCACAAACCTGCCTATTCTAAATGGTTCTGCCATCCGCCGCATCAACACAAAACATAGGAGACTTTAATGGGAAGGAACTTTAATAAAACTAGGAAACAATACAGGTAAGGCAAAGAGTCTAGTTTCTAAGTGAAGCACCCAAAGTTACCCATCCCCTCGTGGGTAAAAGTCCATCCAAATGGGATTGGCCCAGAGCAAGGCCCCAAAGCCTGCCATGAGTCTAAAGCACCTTCCAGTGGGGACCCACAGCAAAGGGTCAGAAACAATCAGACAAGCCCAGAAGGAAAAGAGCAAAATCAACATCAAGATAAAAGCTGCCATTGTCACCTCCCCACGGGTCTCACCCACATCTGTGTCACCCAGTCCACGACCCCTTTCCTGGGGACCACCCTGTTACAACTTTAGTTATTTCCTTCATACTATGGACATTCTATTTGTATGCATCACTTCTTTTAGCGCACTGCGATGGTATGGTAGAGATTTCTTTCTAATCTATGAATTGCAATGCCTGCCTGCCGGAAATATCCATGGTCTATTCTAAGTCATACTCATTAAATGTTAAAATATAACAATCTCAGAAGGCAATGTTGCGCGGTGGTTGAACTGACACTGGAGCTCACTACTTAGGATTGCCACTTACTGGCTTGTGTGGCTTTGAAAAATTATTTAAGCTTTTCTGTGCCTTTGTTTCCTCATTTATATAATGAGAACAATAGTACCTAAATCACTGGCTGACTGTGAAGATTAAATAATTTAGTGCAGAACTCTCCCACTCAATAACAAATCCCCTTTTGAAAATCAGATTTCTGCAGGAAAACCTAGAGCCTATTTGGTATTATTTTAAAAAAGAAAAATCTGAATGTCTAACAAATCAATCAATCCTCCTCCACAGCAATTTCTTAAATTGTGACTAAGTAGTAAATTCCTTAAGGTAAATAAATGATCATTAAAATGTAAAATGCTCAAAACATTTTTCTGAATCATCAAATAATATTAACAAATGGTGCGCTATATGCAAGACAGCTTTTTTTCCATTGTAATCATTTTTTTCTCTAATTTCACTTCCGTTCCTCCCTGTGCTTGGAGGAACTCTTAGCACTAGGCAGTAAGAAAGCTAAATGTGAAGGTCAGCAGGAAACAGGTGAAGCTCACTCTGAGAAGCTTTCAGGCACAAACAATATCCTAAGGAGCACCCAGGAGGTACCCTGCTTTTTGTCTTCAAGCTGGAATTTATTTTTCATCAATTGCACTTAAAATAAAACTTTTCTTGTAAACAGATTTAAGATGTGTTGAATGTTTGGGAAGTAAACTTATTTTTTTACCAATATAAACATCAACTGTAATGTATTTGAAAGGGAATCGCTAATCAAATGAAATCTTTCCTGTTTTCTGCTAAAAAACAGGTCTGGTACAGTAAATAATGCAAAGTAAATGTAAACAACAAGTTTTGCCTCGCTAAAGCCTATCTAGATGAGATTACCTAAAGGAGGTTACATTTTAACAAGGCCTGACAGCCACCAGGCTGAATGATCTCCCAGGGCATCCTTGAATACCTGTGTTTTGTCACAAACTTTTGTGCTTACTGACCAATGTTATCAATGTAAGATGGTTATGTATAAAAGAAAGCCGTTGTCTCTAGACTGGTGCTCAGACCTTACTGGGATTACTCAGGTCTGGGACCTCATGCATGAGCAATAAAGCTTTCCTGACCTCACCATTCCCGAAGTACCCCTTGTTCTTCCCCTGCCTAGGTAAAAGGCTAGATTTTATTTCTGCAACATATTCAACTGAGATGTTTACTTCTTTTGTTAATTTGGGGTTCAAAAAGCCACGAAGGCTTCTGCAAGCACAACGCTACTCTTAGGGAAACTTTAGAATACGACTCCTCTCTAGAACACATCAGTGTGACTCAATAACCTTGCTCAGTTGCATGCATGCATGCATGCATGCATTCATTCATCTATCTCTTCTAAAATACTTTTGGGCTCCTACTCCGGGCTAGGCCCTAGTGTTAGCTTTGAGAGTAGAATGGTGAAGAAAGCATCCCTCCTTTCAAGGAGCCAACAATTTAGGGGGCTAGTGGGAACAGAATGTGATAGCTGCCCAGTGGGAATATAGGGCTGCTGTAGTGCCAGGATGGGCACAGTGCAGGATATCTATGATCCGAGCAGACAGGGTATAGGAGGAGTCCTGGTGCCCTCGGTGGGTTTCTCAGGCTTTTATTGAGCTTTTACAAGTAGTGCAGCAACCAGGTACACAGCAGGCAGGGGTGGGGGTGGGGACAGGGTGAGGGCACCCAGGAGGCCAAGAGGCCTCCAAGCCCAGGGCAAGTCTTTTCTCTCCTTCTTTCTCTTGCCTCTTCTTCCCTTCTGCTTCTCTTGATGATTATCTCAATACTCCTCCCAAGGCCCACAGAAGTAAACAATACAACAACGTAACAACTGCAGGAGTCTCATCAGGCAGGGCAATCTAAATGGTAGGAGGGCAGAGAAGCCGGAAAACAATTACCCTACAGCTGCTGAAGCAGGAAGCAGAGTCTAACCTAGGGGAGAACTTGACTCCGGAGGCTGGGAGGCTGGAGCACAGCGCCCTAGGGGGTGAAACCTGAGCTGCCAGCCTTCTCCACTGCCCGGCAGCGCTGGGTCAGCGCAGGGTCGCAGGTGGAAGGGTGGGGCTGGCCCCAGGGAAAGAAAACAATTGCTAGGTTTGCAAAGGGGAGCCACTAATAGGGTTAATCCGAGGGAGACTGTGACAGCTTTAAAGTCTAGGGTGTTGGGCTGAGAACCTTTAGGGAGACCGTCGGGCAGAGGGGTTGCCCGCAGGCTGTCCTCGCTCCCAGCGGCCGGCGAGTGCAGTGGGCATGCAAGGGGCACCTGCGAGACGCTGTAAGTGAACAGGGAAGAGGCGGCGGGCCGGGAGTCGTGGGCCTGGGCAGGGCAGGGTGGCACGGTACAGGGGAAGGGCCTCATGGAAAACGGCTCCCACCCACGTGCGATACACCAGCCCCGGAAGTGCAGGCTCCAGAGTCCTGCCCCGGAACTTGTGTCCCCGGAACTAAAGGCCGACGTTCCTGTCGTGACAGCGGAACGCGCGTCTCAGGGACGCTTCCGGCGAGGGAAGATGGCTGCGGCCATGCAGGACTCACGTGCGAGTGCGGGGAAGAAGCTGAAGAATTCTCTGAAGAAGAAGAAGATCAAAGTATTAGCCAGGGTTGTAACTTCGGAGGTGGAAGATAAGGACAGAGACGCTGCCGCTACTGGAGGTAACGGGCCAGCACGGAGCTTCGGTCGCTCAGCAAAGGCCGGGCTGAGTTGAGGGAAGCAGGGGATGAGACTGGGTTATAACCGCTCGTCTTCCGAATTGTGACTCGGTGTGGCCTCAAAGGGAAACTTTGGCTTATGGTGAAAAGGCTTGGGGAGGTGATGTACAGAAAAGGGACGCTGTCAGCTGTTGGAGCGTCCACATTCTTTGATTAGATGCTTTCAGGGTCACTTGTGAATTAAAGCGAACGAAACTGCTGCTGTTCACGGCGTCAAAAAGAAGCAGCTAACGTTAGCAAAGGGTGAATGGAAGGAGGATATTTGAAATGACAAGAACGGGGGAGGTTTCATAGGGAGTGAGGAGCCATAGACCAAAAGAGGTCAAAGGAAGGCTTTTCCTGGGCCATAGGCGTGTGCGTTTGTTTGAGATGGAGGGACCAGCTAGTAATGAGTGAAAAAAAGAGTAGGTGGTAAAAGCAGAGTAAGTAAAAGGAGCAGTTGATTACTCTCAGAAACACTTGATACTGCAAGGAAGGAAAGCTATCTTTTGAGCAAAAGCCTTCAGCCCTCAGTCTTTGTACCAGTTTGATGGGTTACAAGGAATTGCAGACAATCCCTTCCTTTCTAACTCAATTATTGCTCCTTTGTAGTCGTTGCTAACCACAGTAGTTGCTAGAGGTTTTTTTTTTTTTTTTTTATAATGTACCCCACATCATGTCCCTAAAATGCTTAAGATAATCCAGTGGCTTCCTGTCTCAGAACCTCCAGGATCTTTACCCTGAATGACATAGCTCAGGTTGTCTCATCATCTGGCAGTCAGCTCCTCTCCACTCACTACCTGTCAACTTGCCATAATGTTATCCTCATGGTATAAGGCATTAAACACGCTCCTACACCAGGATTTTCATACTTGATTTATTGTCTAGAATACATGGCACACTGTCTCTCTTTCTGGCTTCCTACAATCTGTGATCTGTCAGCGAAGCTTGTCTCTGACTACACTAGCCAGTGTACTGACACTGCTCTTTTTCCTTCCCTGCCTTCCCTTTTGACTTCGGAACCTGCTTTATTTTTCTCAGCATTTCCCAAACTATCTGGCATGTTTGCTGTTCCTTTTCCAGCTGGAGTGTAAGCTGTACAAGAGTAGAGACAGCTATATTCCTAGTGCTTGAAACAGTTGCAGAGTGAAACCTTCACAGATATTTAAGTGAATATGTGAATGAATCTGGACTTCCAGGGCCAGGATGAAAGAAACTTATGTACTACAGCAGTTGCTAGAAAGGAGAGTCCTCACCCACTGCCAGAAGAGTTAAGGAAGGAATTGGAACTTATAGTTATGCTAATCTTTTTTTTAACTCAATAGCTAAATTCAGGTGGGGTTGTCAGAAGAAGAGGTACTACTTACTGTCGCAATTGTAGATCACTAACATGGTTTAAGAGTGCTTTAGGCTAGTGTGGAAACCAAATCACCCAGTTCATGTTTAATGAGAAATTGTGTTCTTTGATATTCCACTCACCCTCTAAGTGTCAAGGACATGAAGGTTGAAGAAACACTTGCTCTAGAATTACAATCTTGGGCCTGCTGGTGGCTCAAGGGGTTAAGCACTGAACTATGAAGCAATCTGAAGCCTCTGCAGCACGAGTTCGATCCCTGGCTTGCCAGGGAGCAACCCACATGGCGAAGCAGGCCTCTCCTGTCTCGCCCGCTGTTCCTCTCAGCAGTGTATTTTGGTTGTTCTATTCCCCACTCTGTCTCTGGTGAATCCTCTCACTCCCCGCATCTCTGGCCTGTACCCTAGCTCTTGTATGCATAAATAAATCTTTTTTAAAAAATAGAATTACAGTCTTAGTGAAGAGAGAGATTAAACACAGGACTGGAATGCAATGCATTGAGTCTGAGTAGATAATAGTTAAAAAGGTGATTAGTAAAATCATCATCTAGTTAAAAATGGTAGGGATTGAGACAGAAATCCATACCTTATAGAACCAATCTATAGAACCCTCTCCTAATAGATGCACATTGACCAAATGCTGAGGCTGTGTTTTATTTATCTTTATTTTTACAAGACTTTACTGCACTTTTTGATAGTATTCTTTTTAATTGACTAAATGAATAAGGCAGCTTTTTCTCCAGATCTTAAAACGACTAATGGTTTTCTAAACCTGGCTGTAGAGAAGAAGTACAGTTTGCCAAATATAGGGGAAAGAATGTGAAGTGGCCTGTAGTGTCTTAATATGCATGGTCCATTTAGGACAAAATGAATCGTCTACTGTGGTCCTAACTATTCTGAGATGTTACCTGTGTAAAGCTGGGATGAGAATTAAAGTCAGATTGTAAAGGCCTTGTGTTCAGGGGAGTGGGTCTCCATCAGGGAAGCAGTTGGGAGCTACTGAGAACTTTGAAGCTAGAGAGTGACACATCTTACAAATACCACTGCAGACTGCTTGGTGACTTCTGGCAATTAGTAGACAGTTGTAAAACTGGGCTGGCACAAGGGCAGGACAGTGAAGATAGAGAAGAGCCTCATGTGAAATATTTTTTGGAAAGAAAACATTCAACTTTCTAAGCAACCAACTTCCTCATAAACTCATAGCAAATTTCAGGCATACTCTGCTGTTAGAGTAATCAGAGAATAGTTTCAATAACTCTATGGGGGGGGCGGTTACTATGTGCTGGTACTAAGTTCCTTGTATATATCATTTCAGTGCTGACAACAACCCTATGAGATGGATACTATTAACCTCATTTTACTGATAAGAAACTGAGGCACAGAGAGGTTATGACTAGCTCACCAGTCTGTAGGATAGTCATCAAGTGAATAAATGACACAGTCACTACTGAATTTGGGTCTGGAGCCTGTATCCCAACCATTACCTTTATGTGGTTGAGAAATCAGGACATACAATTTTTTAAAAACTGTTTAGAAAGGGGGCTCCCTGGTGGCGCAGGCGGTTGAGTGCAGCACTGTGAAGCTGTCCGCAGCCTCTGCAGCGCGGGTTCGATCCCAACTGGCTGGCGAGAATCCAGCATGGTGCGGCAGACCTCTCGTGTCTCTCCTGCTGCTCCCCTCAGCAGTGTATTTTGTCAGTCTGCCTGTTCTGTTACCCGCTCTGTCTCAGGAAGAAAAGATTTTTCCATTCAGAACGTTTTCATCACTCAGGAATCTTTTCATGATCTGATTTCCACAGCGCTTTCTCCACTGTTTATCAGTGTAGCCAGCCTCCTTTCTTCTTCCATCCTTCCTGCCTGCTTTATTTTTCCCTCCTAAAATCCACACATTATCTCTAGAAACAAATCCCCACTTTTACTCAAACCATCTAAGAGACACCTGTGTTTGTAATGACTTTGGGCTGATTATATACTGTTACCTGCCTCAGTTTCTTCATTTGTGAAATGGATCCATACTCGTGTCTGCCTCAGGATTTCTGTGAAGATTAAATGAGTTCCTGTCTGTAATGTGCTTATATTTGGCACATTAGTACAGACTCTCAAATATCAACACTGATGGTGAGGACAACATTTTTTATGTAACAAAACTCCTAATCCTTTTTCTGTTGTCATCTAAGCCTTGCAGTCTTTGCTAACAGTGATACATAAAGGCTGGTGTGCTCCCCAGATAAGACATTAGCATTCCTCTGGTAACCCTGTGAAGTAACTGCTATTTCAGTTTTACAGATGAGAAAAGGGGCTTGGAGATAAGTTTGCATTGTACAGGAATGCCTCTCAGTGGGAACTGTTAAAGCCAGAGATGCAAGATGATGTCTTTTATTCTGACATTATCTGATGTCGTGTATTTATGGTAAAATTTAGCATTAATAATGATTTGATTCTCTAAGCTTAGTTTTTCCACAGACACCTGGACCTTACAAACCTGAATTCTCAATTTCATTTCCCCAATAAGGGATCCATGAATAACAAGGGTGGACAGTGTTGCCCCGATGTGGTAACAGTTTGCCTCCCTAGCCCGCTTGATCCTCAACATGCGCACCTTCCCATGGTCACAGCACTCTGGCCTCCTCATTTTTGGGGCACAGTTTGCACCTACTCCTCCGACCCATTCTTCTACAGTTCTAACATGTTCTTATTTTTTTCTTTACTTCCTCTTAACCAACTTTTCTATATCATTTAGGTTTCAACTTAGTTGTCTCTATCCACTTGTTCTTTCAGGATTTAGACTGCATCTCTGATAGAGATAAGTAGCAGGGCTTTTTCTGTAATGAATTTAGTAATTGAGCTCCTTTGGAGTAACTCAGCATTTGCTATTTAATATAAGAAGTTGCAGTTTTCCAGTCGTGAAATCAGATATTTCTGGAAAGGTGACTCATGGAAAGAGGTTTTCTAGTTCAGATGTTTGTGTGTGTCACCTTGGCAGAACTTTTAAATTATCAGATATTTTCAAATAATGGATACTGAAGAACTGTGAAGGTTGGAGATTGAGTTGGGCTTCAGACACAGAAGGAATCACTGTAAGTTAATAGATTTATTAAAATGTACCAGCTCATTTTGTCAAGAAAATGAATCAGACACTTGACTTTGCATTGTAACTGAATCATAAAAATTGATATATTCCTTACACCAGCATTTCAAAGCAACCCCCTTTAGCAAGATGCTATTTAAATTTTATCAAACTCACAATCCTATCGAAACCTATCAAAATTTATAGATAATAGGTATTGTCTGTCAGGCTTTGCAGACGCTCCCTAGTTCTTTGAGGTGGAAACTTCTCAACTTGGGTAACAGCTGTATCTGGGAATTGGGATAGCACCTGACACTTGGTGTGTGGTACTCAAGTTATTCATAACAATACAGCAGGAGCTTCTCTTTACGTGGTTTCATACTCTTCTCATGTACCAGATAGTGAGAGTAAAACACTAACAGAAGTTGCATATAATGTAAACTTGAATGACAGCAAAATAATTCAGACTGAATTTTTGGTAAGTTTTGATGCTTTTCAGTAGGGTTTGCAGTGTAATCACAGTTGGTAAAGTCACAGGTGACCACGAAGCTGAGATGCAGACAATGAAATGCTGCAGCTCCCATTTTAGTGGGTAATAGATGAATATCAAGCACTATAAAGGGTAGGATGGCATCCCTACCTGAATTGACCTTGAACTGCTCAGATTTATTGAATTGATACCTGGTTGGAGGATTGGCTGCAGTATGTAGTGTTAAAAGAAGGCACAGACACACACAGCCTGCCTGGTCAGTTCGTCAACTCAGGTGAAGAAATGCAAACAGTGGTTGATGATGTCAAGTATTATAAGTGGGGGGGCGGGTGATAACCTCTACCACTGAGTTACTGTCGAACTACTCAGATGTACTGAATTGATGCATTGGAAGTTTAGACATAGTAGCTTGATTCTTAAGTGTATTGTCCTTTGAGGAAAAAGAAAAGCTCCTATAGTTCAGTCAATCAGCCCAGGAGGTAAGGAAAGCCTTGGTCATGTCGAGTGTCACACTGTGCTTGACCATATTCTCATAGTGCCCGTGTGACTGAGCTAGTAGGGAGGAAAGGTAATTCCATGTTTTTCTGAATTGTTCTGGTCACAGATTTGAAAAATGACCATGTGCTTCTAACATAGGACTTGATAACAATCCAGTTTAGAAAGTGCTCGGAGCCATCCTTTCGTTTTTGATAAACTACAAAGCCCAGCAGATAAATGTGCTTTTCATCAACTGTAGCTTAGAGCCTCCTTCATCATTTGAGCTGCTTAAAATAGCAAAGGAACATGCCTAGGAAATGAAGTATATCACAGTCTGACTGGAGTGGGTTAGCACTTTACAGGGCAGACTCAGGAAACAGACGGCTTCCAGGCAAGGCCTGCTCTGGCTTGTGGGGTGGCATGTGTAATCACATCTGACGCTTTGTCCCAAGATAGCACTCCATTTTATTTTATTTTTTTAATATTTTATTTTATATAATTCTTACATCATTTTTCATCTTTGTACAATGTATGCATTTTCATTTTGGTTATATTCCCCATATAATTGCACCACCCCCCCTTATTTTGACTCTAGTTCTTCCTCTCCTTGTCCCTCCCTACTTCCCCCCCCCCCCACAGTGTGTCTCTGGTTTATAGTTGCTTGTTGATTTTGATTATTACTTTGCATTGATTAGTCTTTTTCCTGGTCTCTTATTTAGGTTTTCTAAATTTCTGCTATGAGTGAGACCATCTGGTATTTTTCTTTTTCTTTCTGACTTATTTCGCTGAGCATGATCCCTTCTACCTCCCTCCATGGTGCTGCAAACTGCATGTGTTTATCTTTTTTGATTGCTGAGTAATATTCCATTGTAGCACTCCATTTTATTTAGCACTCCGTTACTTTCGTGGAAACCCAGGATGACTTCATTTATTTTTTTTCTTTAAAGGCAATTGCTTTTCAAAAAATTTTAAGGCATCACTTTTGAATATTCAAAATTTAGGAATAATTAGCAGGAGAGGTCACGAAGAATGAGCAGAACAGGTGATCCCATAGCTAGAATGGGACACAGTTGTTGCACTGGGCTCTTAGTCACCTACTTAGGCAAAATCAGAATGGGGTGGACAGCGGGCTGCAGTGGGTAATGGATGCTTAGAGATTAGTTCCTTTTTTAATTCAATCTGTGTTAGGCTGTGTAGTGAGTATTTTTGCATTAGTTCAGTGCCCATTGTCTGAGTTGACTGGGATTCAGGTACACTAGCCTGTCACCCTCCGCCTTTCCTGTTGTGGCAGGTTTTTTACTCTTCTGAACTTTAGAATCATCCCTTGAGTGAACAGAATAATAAAAGCAACTTACAGAGTGTCATAACGTTTAAAAGAGAATACATAAAAGTGTTTTAAGTCATATCCAGCTCTAAATGTGAGCTAGTTAGTGCTGTCATTACTCTGGAGAAGTTGTAAGGCACGCAGGACTTTGACCACCTTGGAGATAGCCTGCTCCTGACAAATCCTGGCACGTGAAGCACCTGCTGTAACCAAGACCCCAGGCAGAGTTACAGCGGAAGCAAAATGCAGTTTCCCCTCTCTGGGTTTTGCCATCCTTTTGGGATCCCCTTGAAATTTGTCTTCTGAGTTCACAGTATTGTCATCTGCCCTCTGGGTATTGACAATGATTCTTAGTGCTTCCATTGTGCTTTTCACATGATGCCTCATTTACTTATCATAACAACCCAGCTAGAGTAGGTACTGTTTGTATCCCCACTTCACTCAAAAGAAACTGAGACCCAGAGGATTAGATAACTTGATGTTGTTAGAAAGAAAGCTTTTGGCCTTCTTTCTAGTGTAGCTGAAAAAATGTGAAATTTGCAGCCAGTTGTGTGTGAATTCATCAAGACAAAACACTAGATGTCAGTGTTGTCACTTTGACATTTTCCCCAGAGCTGGCAAAACTTCTGCTTTTAATCATCCAGATATAAGTCTCTGACACAAATTTTGAAGCCATTATGCCTCTTTACACTTAGGTAAACACTCACTAGAAGAAATACATTTCAGGGAGTTGTTTCTTGTTATTAGTACCTGTGCAGCTACTGACGAGGAGTACAACACATGGCATAATGTATTCGTTTTTCAGCTATACTCTCGCAGTTGTTTTTGGACACACTTTTCATGGAGCCCTAGTTCTTTGAGATGCTTCTGGTGGGCGATTGTATGGCTGGAGTCAGCTGTACACTAAACACAGAATTTCATTCAGGATAATGCTATTAGCGTCTGTTTAGTAAAATTTAGATGGTTTTTTCATTTGACAGACCATAATACACTTATATCACCTGATTTGCATGTCATGGCCTAGAATCACAACTCTTCAGATTTCTTAAACTTACCTAGCATTCAAAAAAATACAACGTATCATCCAAGATATAAAGAAGCCTTCAAATGAATATGTGGGAAATTAATTTCTATTTTTTAAAAATTTTTAAATTAAATATGCAGCACATTAAGGCAATAAAATTACTGGTAACTTCTTGCTCTTAACATTTTCTTTAATATTTTTGATACCATCAGCATATTAAAAGATCTTGTTTTTAAAACAATATATTATTTTGCTTTCTGTGTTTAACTCTTAATTTTATGTAATGTTCTGTTAATTTTTTGAAGCTACTCATTTTTACTGTGTTTGGTTCATTTTATATATGTGCATAAAATGTTATGCGTTCTCTGTTTTGTTTGCTGTTTTCTACTGTTTACAAATTTTTCTTTGACATGTATTAAGTATTTAGTTTCCGTATTTTTCATGTCATGAGTTCTCAGCAATTAAAAAGTACAGTATTATACTAAAATAAAAATAAAATTCTAAGTGTTACAGTGACTAATAAAAATCAGGTCTTCAGCAATGCCCCTAATTCGTGGCAAAAGTTAAGAGAGTGAAGATCACTCAAAAGTTAACAGCTAGGGGCCTCCCCGGTGGCGCAGCGGTTGAGCGCTGGGTTGCGAAGCTGCCCGCAGCCTCTGCGACGCAGGTTCGATCCCCGGCTGCTCCCCGGCCACCAGAGGAGGGTCCCACATGGCGCGCAGACCTCTCCTGCCGCCCGCTGCTCCCCTCAGCAGTGTACTTCGGTCCTTCTGCCTGCTCTGCTCCCCGCTCTGCCTCTGGTGAATTCTCTCACCCTCCCGCGCTTCTGACTGTACCCAGTGCATGTATAAACAAACAAACAAACAAATAAATAAATAAAACATGCCTCTATTAAAAAAAAAAAAAAAGTTAACAGCTGACTGAGATGTTACTGTGTCTTTTCTGTATCATGGAAGCACTGATTTTCTTGGTAGATTAACGTTTTTTTTTGTTGTTGTTACTTGTTCTTAAAATAATCAGTAGTTTCTTCACGTAGTGTCAGGTCACAGTTAAGGTACATACCCCGAAACCAGTCCCATGTCCGCACCCTCCGCCACCTTGGCACTAGGAAACGGGGTGAGGGCTGTTAGATTTGTTTCTTCCACCTGGTCCTGGGGCTGAAGCTGCTGCGGCCTCCCTTGTCGACATGACTGGGCCAGATTTGGGGAGCTGATGGCAGTAGACTGAGGGGAGGTGGTGTGTGTTCTCCATTGCTGCTGCTGTGCAAGTTGGGAAAGTTCCTTGGGAAAATAAGACAGAGAACTGCTAGCTTTATGAAGGCTCCCGGCATCTTGTGATGACCTTGGAAGTCTCCACCTTTGGGATTAAAGATGCATTTCATCCTACTTTTAGGTTCTGTAAAAAGCTATGGATCGGAAAAGGATCACTCTTCTGATGATGATGAAGCAATAGAAGCTGACAATGAGGAGGAAGTTGAACCCTGTGACGATTACAGTAAAAATGCTGCAGAATCCAGTGCTGGAACTAATGCTGGCTGGGCGGATGCCATGGCTAAAATCCTTAACAAAAAAACTCCTAAAAGTAAGCCCACCATTCTGGTCAAAAACAAAGAGCTGGAAAAGGAAAAAGAGAAGCTAAAGCAGGAGAGACTGGAGAAAAGAGCACAGGTGTGTCCTGCCATTTGTTTTGTAGACTGGATCGTCTAGTTCTTGGCTGTGGTTCCTCTCCATGTTCATCCAACAAACATTCTGTTTTTAACTTAATTTTCATGTGGGTGTGGATAGCCAAGGTGAAGTCCAGAAACCCAGGCTGAAGTGCTCCAATGAGCATGCTCACTCTTTAACCATCGAAGCAAAGCAATCCAAGTATGAACGCTTTTCAAAATCAAGTGATAATACATATGGCCATGACTCCTGGGCACTTTAGCTGTCCCTTTTCTAACTTTATTAGGTTCTAAACTAATAGATTTTCATGTTCGTTATATTTTGCTAAAAAGCCTGTTTATAATTTAAGTCTGTGAAGCTGTTGTCAGGGGTTGGTTATAATTCTGAAAATTTTTGCACTGCCAGATAAACTTGAATAGCTATACCTTTTGTTAAATCACTGATGGTAGAGGCTAGATTAGTACAGTCTGTTAATTAAAGGACAGAAGTTGGGCTTGTTTGCTGTAGCGTATTGTAAAGATAAACAATAATAATTCTATATCCCTAAACACTTACTGAATATTTCTGTGCCTAAAGTACTTTGTTACTGAAATAGGTATCATTTTTTAATGAAAGAAAAATAACTTTCTATATTGTACTGGCAGTATTAAAAGTACTGATTTCCAAGAGGTATGTTTTAGGTAAAAATGAAAGAAAAATGGATTTGAATCAGTATGCAGTTCTTTTTAACTCCTTTCTCCCTTGTCTCATTTCACAATGAATGTTTTCTTTGTTCTTAATGCTAGTTGCTTTATGTGAGAGTCTTATAGAAAGACAAAGCTTTTCAGGTGTTGCTTTTAGAAACTTAGTGTATTGTGTAATTCATTCAGTATTCTCATAGTACATTATTTAAGATACATTTTAAATCTTGATTACCTGGCAACAGCTGTGAGAGGCTTTAGAACTCTGAGAATCCTTAATCCCTTCAAGTGCCAGTGTTTAAGGAGATTTAGAGCAACGTTATGAAGCGAAGAGGAGTGAGTCTCCTGATTGTTCTAGGCCAGGGCTGAGAGGCTGGAGAGGATACTGGCTCCAGAAGGTGGGAAATCACGGTGACCGAGCAGCGGCAAAGGCTGTCTGCATAGCCCAGTGGAAGTCAGTGTTGTTTGATGTTAAGTAAGTATTACCAATTTGCAGAGTATCAGGCACTTATTTCAACTCATAGGTATACAAATACATCTCAAGGTTAAAAAATGTTTGGGGTATTATTCATGCCAATTAAAATACCCCAAGGGGATAATTAAGAATCAATGGCTTTAACCTTAAAAGTAAGATTTTTTTTTTTTTAATTTGTGGCATAATATGATGGTGAATTTTAGGACAGTTAAGATAAAGCATCTGTTTTGGGGGATGACTTCCATTAGCAAGGAATCAGGCTGATTTTTACAGTGATGGCAGAACTTTGGCTTTACTGTGATTAAAAATTTTCATTAATGCAAAATGAGACATAGATGAATGGAGAAGAGGAAGAGATAAAGAAGACTTCTCCATCAGCTATAATCATTTCGATGCTCACCAACTTTTCAGTGATTAGTTCAGACTTTTCAGTGATTAGTTCAGTGTATTCAGTGCTTTTGCTGTTTGGTGGAATGTTGGCCCCAGTAGAGGTTCTGGGGAAACTTTTTGTGGAACAGGTCCTGGGACCAGGCTTCCACTGGCAGGCACTTTCTAATAAGACCATGCTGTCTACAGGATTTTCTCTTACCTCCTGACTCCCTTCTACTTTAATTATAGCGCAGAATCAGTTTGCTGTAGTTTGTGGTTGATGTTCCCTTAATGGCAAGGATATTATGCTGGAAGAGGTAAAGTAGATTTACGTGCTTTTGTGAAATGAAAAGTAGTCTAAGTGGGATCTGTCTGTATATGATGCTATTTGTTTAAAAGCTGATTTGAGGTCTTAATGATTCTGTTTCTGAGAAGCTTCTGAGAAGAGAAAAGCAGTGTGTTCAGACCTAGGCTCTTAGGGGTCTTCCTGCTCAGTCTGACCTGGTGATTCTGGCAGGCGGCGACTCTCTCATCCTTCTCTGGTCCTGCCTCTGAGCATGCTGGCAGCGCTCCAGGCCCCTGCTGTCAAGAGCCTGACAGCAGTTCACATTATACCTCTCACATGACATGCTGAGTGCTAACCACAGGCTCCCTGAGCTGAACCCCAAAAAGTGTGGGTTTTGTTAAAGTCCCTATGACAGACTAAGCCCGAATGATTTATTACCTTTGTCCTTTCATGGAGTATCATATCAAAGTATGCTGCACTTTCAAAAATGCCTAATATTCTCTCACACAACAATATTTATAACACAGCTTGATAAGAAGCGGGAATGGGAAATGATGTGCAGAGTGAAGCCAGATGTTGTCAGAGACAAAGAAACCGAGAGAAATCTTCAGAGAATTGCAACAAGGTAAGACAGTGTTTTGCCCTTTAAAAAATAAGTTTAATAAAGCTTTGATAGTGATCCTTCTCTGAGTAGGTTTGATTTTTAAGTTCTGTCTTGTCAGAGCCCAGTGATTTATATCCAGGCTGCCTGGTTAATAACTGAATTCGACCAAAGATTTTGCACATCTCATGTGGCAAAAATATATTGTGCTAAGTGTATATTTGTTCTGAACCTATTTTTTTTTTAATCTGAAACTGATCTTGCTTTTATAATCATAAGAACAGTGTAATCAGTCCTCTTACAGCATTTCTCTAGTGATGGTTATCTAAATGTCTAGCCTAGATGATTGTTTTGGTGATTTGGCATGGCATCCTTGGCATGATGCCTCACCCAGTGAGCAGCTTCCTGTTATCCTTTCACTCTGCATGTGTCAGGGCACCAGGACTGATCTGATGCCCTCTGTGCCCAAAGATAAATATAATCTGGTGGCTGCTGGCTGGTCACTGTCTGCTCCCTGTAGGAACTATAGGAGGAGTAGAGGTTTGTCCCATGTGGTAGAAACATAGCACCGGTGATTGTCTAGATGAACTTGGGTGGAGATTTCACAGAGGAGATGACACTTGGTTGCTACTTAAAGAGTAAGGCAGTTGCATTGAGCGGAATTACTTTTAAGTTCTTGGTTACGTTATTGGGGTCATGTTCTAATCTAGCTGGTTGTTGAAAATGAGAGAGTGAGGTGTGGTGGTTTAGAGTGTGAGCTATGGAGCCAGCCTGCTGGGTTCAAAACCCAGCACTGACCCTTGTTAGCGGTGTGTCCTTGAGAATGCTACTTCATTTTCTTTGTCTCAGTTTATGTATCTGTAAAAGCAGAAGAGTATTTTACCTCCTCTGAAGAGCTTCCTGATAAGTGAGTTCATGCATTTAAAGAACTTTAAGTAAAGTGCAGCAGTAGCATATGAGGGCAATACCTTAAATTTTATACGTGGGGCCGCACACTTGCTCACCTTGGACCCAGCCCTGCTGTGGAGGATCTGGTATTTTACCTTCCTTAGAAGCCAGTTAGTTGACCTATTGAAGTTTCCAGGATGCAGGGGAGGGGGGACACAAGATTTCTGGGTTAGTGACAAAGGACTTTATCAGCCATGGCAAAAACATCCCCTTGCTCCACAGGGCAGCACAGCGTACAAGGAAAGGTTGGTGGTAGAGAGCAGGAAGCAACAAGCCTGCTCTTTGCCTGTGGGGAGACATTGCCATGGTTTCAAGTTTGCTTAATGCAGACACAACCCTGAGAAATGGCTGGGTATTACTTCTGAAAAAAGAAATTCTTTATTGTGGAAAAAAATGAACAAGGATGTAAAATAATAGTATATTATAAAAATATTAAAAAATGAAAGCAAGCAATGTCTGTGTAAATAGCAGGCAGAGCTTTGCATCCTTGAAAAACGCTGCAGGAATGTGTAGGGATCTGGGGGGCTCATGGTAAATAGCCTCTCCCAGTGATGATTATAGCGCGAAAATAAATAGAGTGGAGAATTTCAGAGCTGGAAGGAACGCTAGTGATCTAAACCAGAGCTACCCAGTCAAAATATAAAAATTCTCTTATATTGAGAAACAGAAGGGGTGAAATCAATTTAAATTTATTTTACCCAATATATTCAAATTATTGTTTTGATTTGTAGTCAGTATAAAACAATCATCCCTGTGATTTGTACATTCTCTTTGTCATATGACGTTGTCAGAAGCCAGTAGTGCTCACACTTGGATCCCTGACCCACCACCTTGCACCACGTGTCACTCGTGGCTCAGTGTCACTCATGGCTGTTGCAATGGACGCCATTGTCTGAATCTTCCAGTTCATCTTTGAATGAGCTCCACTACAAAAGTAAACATTTTTCAAGATAGAATTTGGAATTAGTTTTACATTATAAGAGTTGCAGATGATCTAGTTGAATGCTTTTAAAACTACTAGAATGTAATTTTTCCTATTTAGAGATGAAATTGTGATCCAGGAAATTTTCCTACAGTTAGATGGCCAGGCAGCTACCTGAGAGGCTGTGCTTTTGTGTTACAAGTAATTCTTAGTTCTCTGATTGCACAAAAGGTGATTTAAAAAGAGTAAAACTAAAGATAAACACATGCAGCTTGCAGCAACATGGATGGCGCTGGAAGGGATCATGCTCAGCGAATAAGTCAGAAAGAAAAAGAAAAATACCGGATGGTCTCACTCATAGCAGGAATTTAGAAAACTTAAATAAGAGACCAGGAAAAAGACTAATCAATACAAAGTAAAAAATCAAAATCAACAAGCAACTATAAACCAGAGACACACTGGGGGGGCGGGGCGGGGAAAGGAAGGACTAGAGTCAAAATGGGGGGGGGGTGCAATTGTATGGGGAATATAACCAAAATGAAAATTCATACATTGTGCAAAGATGAAAAAAGATGTAAGAATTATATAAAATAAAGTATTTAAATGAAAAAATAAAAATAAATAAAAAGCAAAACTGGAAGAGAAAAAAAAAACCACGTATCAGCTCACATATATTTATTATTTATTACCTACTCAGAAATTATATTCATTGTTCAAATTCTGATATATTTAACCACTCATTCAGTGCTTTTGCCTGTTGAATGCTGGCCTTTTTTCTAAGCTGTGAGAGCACCTTGCTCCAACCCTCAGAGCCTATGTTCTGGTGTAATTGCACTTTACTGTCACCATTCTGCTCTGTTCTCTAGAGGAGTGGTGCAGTTATTCAATGCTGTCCAGAAGCATCAAAAGAACGTGGATGAGAAAGTGAAAGAGGCCGGGGGCTCTGTGAGAAAGCGTGCTAAGTTGATATCAACTGTCTCCAAGAAAGATTTCATCAGTGTTCTGAGAGGGATGGATGGTGAGAAAAGTTCACCTGGGAAAAGCCCAAAAGCCAAACAGGTAAGGCTTTTTATATGGAATTCAGCGCATGACTTTCAGTTCTTAAGCCCAGAGCTTTTAAGGGAGAAAAGCACACTATGAAATATTTTTTAAAGATTTTGTTAATAATTCTTTATGCCCACAGTGAAATTTCAAAGTTTGGGTCCTTAAATTTCATAATGATTTATTCAGGATGGAAATTGTCAGTTAACGTCATATTCTTGCTCTGAGACTAGGAGCCAACAGATTCTGGTACTGCTGTTAGCGATGGAACTATCTCCTCTCTGAAATCCTGGCTTGTGTACTTTTTGGAGAACAGAAGCATAAGTGAAGGCTACAGCTTCAGTTTGTTGTAGTTGTGACAGCATATACCTTCTAGGATGTGCCCAAGAAGAGTGCTTTGACAGATCTGGGGGGAAGTCATCCTTGCCCTGAGACAGCTTTACTGATGCTGGGCCAGCTGGGAGGTGGGACAGCCTGGTCAATGACTTTGTTTTCCTTTTTAATGTACTAGGCAAAAGGTTCTGATAGGTAGTCTCAAAAGTGCTTGATATTTGTTGCCAACAGAACGTACTTTGGTCAGGAAACAAGTTTTTGTCATGTTTTTTTGTTTGTGTTTGGGAAAACAATTGAAACCCAGGCAAGAATTTCATGCTAACCTAGGATTGAAGTATTTTTCAAGTTCCTTAATTACCATTTTACCTAATTCTGGCAAAGGTTTTCTAAGCTATTTATTTAACTTTATCTCTCTCATGACTATCAAAGGAACCAAATTGTATGTTTATAAAATAATGATTCTCACTGGTGCTGCTATTTTCAAGCATTTGTCAGAAGTAATTATAAACACATGAGTACTGTGTTTGGGGATTTATAATTTTTTAGTTAAGAACAGGCTGCATTCTCGCTATTGACATTTCACTGGAAGAACTGGAGAATGATGATTAGCAATAGATGAGAAAGCTAGTGGGAAGATGAAAATGGAAAGACTTTTTTTCCCTGTTGGTATTAAATTAACGTTTTATAGATGCGTTGTTTTTGCTTTGGAATCATTTTTTTTCCATGAATTATGAAAATATGTGAAGGGTCTTTTCCAATGGTATCATTGCGTTTTCTTTCTTACTGTTTGCACTTTGGTCCTTGACTGTCTTGATTTTCTACTTCAGTGATCATAGGCATACTTGTAATCTGGGACATGAGATTGCTTGAGATGTAAACCAGAGTGGCTTTGCTCTAAAAGTAGTTTGTTTCTAGAACTCCCTGCTCCATGCCAACAACATCCTGGCACATTTCTAGTTAATAGGTTTGTTTTCATTTTGATTTCATATTTATGGAAAACAACCAGACTTGTTTTTTATTTTACCTGAGTTTACATCTAAGTATCTATAAAAGTACTATAATGGGGCCTCCCTGCTGGTGCAGCGGTTGAGTGCTGGGCTGCGAAGCTGCCCGCAGCCTCTGCAGCTCAGGTTCGATCCCCGGCCACCGGGCGAGGGTCCCACATGGCACGCAGACCTCTCCTGCCACCCGCTGCTCCCCTCGGCAGTGTACTTCATCACTCTGCCTGTTCTGCTCTCCGCTCTGCCTCTGGTGAATTCTCTCACCCTTCCGCGCCTCTGACTGTACCCAGTGCTTGTATAAATAAATAATAAATAGATATTTAAAAAAAAAAAAGTACTATAATGTTTGTGTTTAGATAAGTTAACGCCTTAGAATTCTGATAGACAATAACTTCTTCAGGTAAGTAAATAGAACTAATAGAACTGCATGCCAGTTCTCAGTAATGTAAATTAAGCGACTATGGGGGGGAATTTCAAAGTAACTGATACTACCATTTAGTACACAGATCACAGATCGATATATGGGTTGATTTGTCATGATGGACTTTTAAGGCAGTTGAAGAAGAGGGAAGGGAATAGATTTGTTGTGCTAAATAAAGCATGATTCGGAAGTGAGTCATGGGTTGAGAAGTGGACAAAGAAAGTTATTAAGTACAGGGTAAGAGTTCCCCTTTTCTCTTATTTTACCTCATTGTAGCATGACTGCTGTAGCTCCCTTTCCTAATACATTCCTCTTCCCCTCCTCAAACAGAATGACAGAAGAGCTTTTATGGAGGTTGCTCTTTGTCCCTTCCTTGAAGGTAACGGTATCCAGGCCCATAGGCCTTTTATCCTGCAGGTAGTTACACTATGTGGAGTCTTCAGAATCTGAAGTCCATCCATATATAAACTTGATATATCAGGATACCAATCTGAGGATACCTTTATTGTAGTGTCTTTATCTCCATTACCCAGCTATACCTGTGGTTCATAGTTGTGACACTGAAGTCTTATATTAAAAAAATAAAAACGAGCCAGTGGTTTTATATTGAGCAAAGCTGGATAGAGTTGTAATAATATAACATGTTGGATTCATTATAGTCCGTATACTTTAGGAGTGCTGTTGGTGGTGTGTGTGTGTGTGTGTGTGTGTGTGTGTGTATACACACACACACACACACACATATATATATATATATATATATATTTTAACTCCTTAGGAATACTTATGGCATAGAAATTAACTTTTAAAAACCTCCTTCCAGGTATAAGGAGCTTTGAGACATTATGACAAAGGTTTCTTAACTCTGCCAAGTTGCCAAATAAGTCACTTTTCTCAGAACTTTCTTTTTTTCAGCATTAAAATTTTATTTATTCCAAAGCAGTTGGAGCACAGTTTCAAAACTAAATGAGTGACAGAATAACCATTGCTCTTTCCCATCCATTTCCACCTTGTATTGCCCCTTCACTCCCAAGATAACCAATTTAAACTCAGCTTTCTTCTAGTATTTTCTTCCATAACTTAAATAATACACTATTTCTTACAAATATTAGATATTATCTCTAATGGAAAATAATTTCTCTTCGACCCTATACTTCCCATACTCTGTCCTTCCAATATAGTATATTAATGTTTTTGTCTAAATCAGTATTTAGAGTAAACATTGTTCGCAGCTGCGTAAAGTAATGTACAATAATACTGCTTTCTTCCTTCAACATTATTTCCTTACAGTTTTTGTTTCCCTGGAGTTAATTTTTACCTCGTTGCTGTTGTTTGTGTGTGTGTGTTGTATTCATTTGTTTAGTTTTATGTGCACCAAAGTTTTCCCATACTTCCCAAAGCAACCATTAAGCCCTCTCAGTATTATTTTTTTCATGGTCATCTTGCTATTTAATCTAAACTGTCATTCTTTGTACTGTCTTTTTGCTACTTTGCTTTATTACTGTCCTGGGAATTCCCTTTGCCTCTTTCCTGTGTGGTAGCCTGCTTCTTAAACTAAGGATTTTTTTTGTCTTAACTTTTGCCCTCATTTTGATGAGGTCACATTTATCAGCTTTCTGGAAAAGTGGGTAGGTATCATCTTTTATTGATGTGTTGGCTGCACATATGTGGTGAGTAGAAGGGTGTGTTCACCCCACCACCACCAAATGCTTAGTCCATGTTTTAATTTCCAGAATCCGTACATGTATCTTATTTGGACAGAGGGTCTTTGCAGAGGTAGGTAAGGATCTTGAGGTGAAGAAATCATCCTGAATTAATCTGCAAGGGTCCTAAATCCTTATAAGTATCCATATGAAAAACACAGAGGAGAGACTTCGTAGACAGAAACAGAGGGGGCAGTTGACCATGGAGGCAGTGGTTGAGTGATGTGACCACAGTCAGAGAAAGCCGCCAGCCGCCAGAAGCTGGAGGAGACAGTGGCTTCTCCAGAGCCCCCAGAGGAAGTGAGGCCTTGGCAAATTATAAACTGTAGGAGAATAAATTGCTGTTGTTTTAAGCCACCCACTTTGTGGTAATATGTTATAGCAGTCACTAGAAGCTAATTAATGGAAATGTCCATGTTGGAAATTATTTTCCCTCAGAAATATGAAGTTATTGCTCGATTTTCTTTTAACTTTCCTCCAACACTATTCAGATTTCTGACTCTTTACTCTTTAGGAGCTTTAGCTTTGCTATTTAAAAAATTTCTGAAACATGAGCTTTTTATCAAGATATTTTTAATCCTCTGATCCTGCTGACTCAGATAATATTGTTACCCTTAGAAATTGTTTTATCTTTGTTAATTTTATTGTATGCAGGTGTTACTTCTGGAATAAAGTATTTTTGAACTCATGTTAGAAAGCTTTAATTAGTGGCAAAAAAGGAAGCATAATTGCTTTTTAAAGATCATTTTTAGGATAAGAGAATTCTAAGACTTGCAGGTATTCTAAGAGATGTCAAACTGACATATAGTCACTAGTTACTGTACTTTATTTCTTGGACCTGAGCCTGAACACTGTACAGGACAGGAGAAAGATAGTTGATTGGCTTATTTCAGGGGAGATAACAGATTATATCTGTAAATCAGAAAGTTTTCACTAGAATTTAAGGCAATTACTATTATATATCTATAGAAAATGAGCTCTTTAATTACATTTGTAATTTTTTTTAATAACAGTTGAATATCTCTTATCATACTAAGGTCATTTGTATAGAAGATATACATCCCCTTAATAAATGTAAACTCACTTCTCCTTTGGCATTTAGCAATCTTTTTCTTTCTCTTAAATTCTTCATATTGCAAAACTTATGTGTAGAAGTAAGTCACGTGGTGAGTTCACTACCCAGTACCCACATCTCAACAATGCCCATTATTTTCTCTGTTCACTGTCATTTGTGTCATAATCTTGTTAAAGCATTATTACAGACTTGGTTTATTTTCATTTCGTTTTACTTGTATTTCTGTGAGGCAAGGCCATGAAAAGGGACACTATTAGTGGAAGTGAAAGACCACTTTTTCAAAAAAAAAAAAAAGAAAAAAGGAAGATACTTCAGGAAAACAAATAAAACTTTGGTGTAAAGTATTGTATGTCAGATTCCTTGGCGGTATGGTTCTATGGAATGAATCAGTCCACCAAATATATGGAAGAAAGAAAACAAACAATTTGTAAATTGTTACAAAAAGTGTTGCAGATGGTATAGGTGTTGCTCCTGGAATTAGAGTC